GGAGATACCATTCGGGGGGAGGGGTGACACCGTTGGGGGGACTCCGAGGCCGGGCTGATGCCATGGGGGGCACTGGGGGAGCTGCCAGGAGGGCACGGGAGGGGCAGGGGCACAGGGGGGCTGATGCCCTGGGGGGCACAGGGCCCGGGGGCGATGCCTTTTCCCGCAGGGCGATCCTCGGCTCATTCCCAAAGCCCCGATCCCGCCTCTCCTGACCCGTTTCTCTCCCCCAGGGCCGTTCCCAGGCCAGCCCTCGTTCCCCGGCCTGGCCCCCCCCGGGTACCCCCAGACTCTGCCGCTGCCGCCCCCCTACCTTGACCCTGCCCCTGCGTACCCCGAGGTAGGTGGGACCTGTCCAGAGGGGCTTTACCCCGGGACCCCTCCTGTCCATGGCCCAGGGGAACCCTAGAGCTCACCTGGTTCCCTTGGACAGGGACCCTCCTGCCCGTAGCCCAGGTGACCCAAAATCCCCCAATAAAGCCCAGGGATGAATTCCAGATGATTCCTGCTCCCACTGGCAGCTGAGAGTTCCCCCCCCCCCCCCGGCTGCTGGATGCACACCTGGATATGGGATAACATCTGTCTGACCTTGCTGACTTGGTGCTTTTCCAGCTCTACCGTCTCAGCTTTGTCCCCCTGGGCGCTGCTGGCATCCCCCCCGTGTCCCCCGGCTACCCAGGAGCGTCCCTGTACCTGCCCCTGGCCCCGCCGCTGCCCCTGGGGGCCCTGGGCTCCCCCGTGGCCTATTTGCCCCTGGGCCAGGTGTACCCACCGGGATCCACGGTGCTGCTGGAAGCGGGCTTTGACACCACAGCCAGGCTGGGGACAGGTGGCACCAGCAGCATCCCGGTGAGTGCAGGTGGATCTGTGGGATTTGGAATTGGGTGGGAAGGTTTGGGACAGGTGGCACCAACAACATCCCAGGTGGATCTGTGGGATTTGGGATTGGGTGGGAAGGTTTGGGACAGGTGGCACTGGCAGCATCCCGGTGAGTGCAGGTCGATCCACAGAATCAGGAGGGATTTGGGTAGGGAGGGATCAGAAGATCACCTGGCCCTGGCCCAGGTGAGTCCCAGCCCCATCCTACCTGGCCTTGGGCACTTCCAGGTGGGCTCTGGCTCACAGCCAGGCTGGGCATGGCCAGTGCTGCCCAAATCTGGCCTGGGGGGAGCAGGGAAAGGGGGGGCCTTGGCCACCTGACCTCACCTGTCCCCACACCTGGGCCTGGCACTTCCTGTGAGCTGGGGGAGGCTCCTGCTCACCTGGTTCCTGCTTCCCCAGACTCCCTTGGCTCCCCTTCCCTACAACCTGAGAGGTTCCTGCTCCCCTGGAATTCTCACTTGTGGCTCGTGGGCGTGTGGGGAATGTGTCTCCCAGGGGACATTGTGTCCCCCAGGTGATAGCACAGGTGGCAGTGTGTCCCACAGGTGACAGTGTGTCCCCCCACCTGGCCCAGGTGCCACAGCCCTCAGGGCTGGGTCAGGGCTGAGGACCCAACGTGTCCCAGCGCTGTCCCCCAGCAGGGTTGGGGACATTTCTGTGTCCCCACGGGGCCCTCGTGCCCGCCCTGGCGGTGGCAGTGACCCCGGCTGTCCCCCCGCCGTGACAGTGACCTGTCCCTCTCTTTGTGTCTTGCAGCCGCCGCCCGCCGGGTGCCCCCCAGCTGCCCCCCCGGTGCCCGTCCTGCCCGGAGCCGCCGTCCTGCTGCCCCCACGCAAGGGGGGCTTCCCGGGGGGGGCCGGGGGCGGCTTCAGCCTCTGGTGAGAGGGGGGCAGGGTTTGGGGGCCCCCCCTGCCCGTCAGCACCTCCCCCCAGGTACCTGCACCGGGTCTGAGGAGCCCCAGAGGCCGGGGAGGGACCCCCCCACCCCTGCAGGTGACACGAGTGGGTGACAGGGGAGGGGTTCGGTCAATTGGGGCGTCCCGGGGGGTTCATTCACAAACGGGGGTGAGCTCAGCCCCGCCCCGTCCTCATTTACACCCAGCTCTAATTAATTAATGGCCTAATTATACCCCGGGGCGGGGTTTCCCCTTCCACTGCCCTCATCCCTCTGCTGGACCCGTCCGGCTTTCCCTTCTTTTTGGGAAAGGTGGATTTGGGGTAGAAAATGGGTAAAGTCTCCTCTCCAGTGGCAAAGCCTCCTCTCCAGGGGCAAATTTCCCTTTCCAAAAGCAGAAATCTCCTTCCCAGCAGGGGAAAGGGACCTGAACCCTTCCCGGCCTCACTCCAGAGGTGCCCCCTCACCCTCTCCCACCTTTTCTCCTCCAGAAACTGTCCTGGGATGTTTTTAACCCGCTCCCAGTAATCTTGGATTGTTTGCACTTCAGCTCTAATCAAAGCCATGAGCGGTGCCAGGGCCGTGCTGCAGCTCCCGGGGGATCCTCCCGTCCCAGCTAGAACCAGGTTTAACCGATGCTTCATTAGCAAACGCTTGATTTTAACTCAGACCTGGTGTTTTCGCACCCAAATCCCTTAAACCCGAGAGGCAGGATTGCACCTGGGGGAGCTGTCAGGGAACACACAAAGCCCTTGGATCACGGGATGCTTTGGGGGGTTATCAATGGGTTCATCCATGAGCTGTTTATTGGAGGGTTTATGAATGAGTTTTATGAATGGGATGTTTGTAAACGGATTTTTTTTGTGAATGGGTTGATCGATGTGTTTATCAGTGACTCATGCCTGCATTGATAACCAAACCTCCACAAGCTTGGGAGGAGCATTTCAGGGATCCTCAATCGGGTGTTTTTCTTCTTTTTCGTTGTTATTTGATGAAGAAAGAGCTCAGATTTGACTCTATTTTATTTTAATATTTCACTTTAATCTGAATCCGTGTCCTCTGTGTGTGTGACCATCCCTGACTGTTCCCGAGCTTGGCTCTCGGACTCTCTGTGCTGCACTGAACTTGTGGAGTTTTTATACTAAAAACCAAAAATAAAGATTATTTTGAAAATTTAAATGAACTAGCAGATTTCTGTTGGGCCTCTGAGAGCCCCTTCGGCTGCTGCCAGCCAGGGGTTTCCTCACTTCTTTCCTTTTTCCTGCTCTGTTGGGAACTTCCTCTTTTGGGGTTATTATTTTTGGGGGAATATTTAGGTTTTTCCTGCCCTCCGGTACCCCCATATTCCATCTATGGTTGGCTTAATAAATTAAGGGGAAAAAAACCCAACCCAAACCAAACAAAATCACCCTGTAGAGCATCAACTTTAGGCAGGACCCCAGCTCAGGGAATTTAGGGAAATCAGAAGCTCCAGGAGATTCAGGCAGATCCCAGCTCCAGGATATTTAGGCAGAACCTCAACCCCAGGGAATTTAGGCAGCTTTCCAATTTAGGCGGATCCCCAAATCCAGGGAATTTAGGCAGAACCCCAATGCCAGGAAATGCAGGTAGAGCCCCAGCTGCAGGGAATTTAGGCAGATTCCCGCCTTAGGAAGATCCCCCACCTCCAAGAAATTTTGGCAGATCCTCAGCTCCGGGATATTTAGGTGCATCCCCCAACTCCAGGAAATTTGGGCAGCTCCCCGATGTCAGGGAATTCAGGTAGCATCCTAACTCCTGAAAATGTATGTAGACCCCCAGCTCCAGGGGATTTGGGGACCTGTGTGGATCCCAGGGGTGTCCTTAGATAAAATATTCCTCCTTGTCCTTGGGCGGAGCCTCCTCCCGCGGGGCCGTGTCCGCCTCGGGCTGCTCGTAGGTGCGGTAGGAGCCCTGGTTCCGGTACAGGTAAATCCCGATCACCACCAGCACCGTCAGCAGCGTGAGGAACACCAGCGTGATCACCACTGCGGGGGGAAGCACGGGTGTGAGAAGATCATTTACTACTGATTTCCTCCTAATTTTGAGGTTAATGATTTTTGCAAGCAACAGGATTTAATCAAATGTTAATGGTAATGAAAAAAGCCTGAATTCAGTGGCACATCAGAGCCCCGTGGCACATCTGTGTTCAGCAGCAAAAGTCACCGATGCCTGCCAAAATCTAAAGCTCAGAGTCACTTCACAGGTATTTAGGGCAGGTGTTTAGTGAAAGCCAAGAACCTGTGCCCCTCTATACCAATGGAGAGCATCAGCTAATTCCAGAGGTGCATTCATTTTACACTTAAAAGCACACAGCTTCCTCAGATAAGGTGGCAAAGACAGGCAATGCTTTCCACCGAGGACAACCCAAGGTGCTCACCTGGAAGGAGCTTGTGGCCCTGGGCATCAGAGCATCAACTGATTTTGTGCCTCTGCATTTATCAAAAAATCCTTTTTAAACTGATGTGCTACCCTGTTCTCCTGACAACTGAAAGATGGTGGAAGATATTATTTTGTGGGGATTACAGCAGTTTGTGCTCCTTTGCTATGCTGGAGTTAGGACGGGAGCAGGGCTCAGCCCCGAGCAGGAGCAGTGGCCTCACCTGCGATGATGGCAGTGTCGGCGTCCTCATGGCCAGGGGGGGTGGGAGCCTTCCTCAGGTACGGGGTCGTCAGGTCTTCCTCGGGACAGGGGAGAGAGGGAGGTGAGGGAGGGTCTGAGCCAGCTGGAGAACGAGGGAAGAGCCCGGAAAAGCGGCTCCAGGTGCTCACCTGCGCTCAGGTGGGGCTGAGCTCCCTCCATCGCATCGGCTCCTTCCAGGTGAAGGTTTGGGGTCCTTCAGAGCTGCCAAAAATAGCGAGAAAAGCGGTGAATTCCCAATCCTCACCTCAATCATCACCGGCGCTCAGGTGGGGCTGAGATCCCTCCTTCCAGGTGAGGCTCCGGGCTCCTTGGGAACTGCCAAAAATAGGGATAAAAGTAGTGAATTTATGGGAATTCACGGCATAAAAGTGTTGAAAAAGTATTGAATTTTCATGGGATAAAAGTAGCGAATTCCGGTGAATCACCCCGAAAGGCTCCGCGCGGGGGGGGAGTGCGGCACCAGTAACGCACTGGGATTACTGGGGCTGGGGTCGGAGCGGGAGCAGGGAAGAACCAGCTCCTGACTGGACTCACTCCTAAATTCTGAGAGCTTCAAAGCGCCTCAAAGTCCTTGAAAATGCCCTAAATGCGGGGCCGGAGGTCGATGCCGCAGCCGGGACGTGGAGCTGCCGGACCCACCTTGGCTGTGCCCGATGGGGACCCCCGGGACCCCCAAAGTGTCCCGGCGGCGGCTCCGGCGCTCGGAGCCGAGTGGCTCCGGGGCTCGGGGATTCCGTGACTCAGCGCGGTCAGGAGCGAATCAAATCTCGTTTGTTGGGGGTTTTTAAAAAAAAGAGGAAATCGAGCGGCGGGAGCGCGGCCGCGGGGCAGGAGAGAGGCGTGGCCACGGCCGGGCCGGGAGCCGGGAATTGGGGCTGGGGGAGAGAGCCGGGAATTGGGGCGGGAATTGGGGCTGGGGGAGCCGAGAATTGGGGTGGAAATTGGGGCTGGGGGAGGTGGGAATTGGGGCGGAAATTGGGGCTGGGGGAGAGAGCCGGGATTTGGGGTTGGGAGGAAGCCGGGAATTGGGGTGGGGGGGGAGAGGAGCGGGACTTGGGGCTGGGTTGTGAGTCGGGATTTGGGGCTGGGGGCTCGGGAAGGGAGCGTTCCCCTCGGGGGTGGAGACCCCGAGCAGGCAAAGCCCGGCTCGGGCTGGCAGCAGCAGCCACCCGCTCATTAAACTCAGTTTTAGTTAAAATCAGCCCTGCTGTAAACAGTTTTAATTTAAACCCAACTTTGCTTTAAACCTGGTTTTGCTGTAAGACCAGTTCTGCTTTAAAACTAGTCCTGCATTAAACCTCGCTTTGTCTTAATCTAATTTCAATTTAAACTTTGTTTTGCTTTAAACCCAGCTTTGCTTGAAATCAAATTCTGCGTTAATGGCCACTCTGTTTTAAACCCGATTTTGCCTTAAACACAGCTTTGTTTTAAACCCAGCTTTTCATTGACCCGGTTTTATTTCCAGCACAATTTTGCATTAGGTCTGGTTTTATTTTAGTCCAGTTTTGTGTTAAACTCAGCTGACCTTTAAACTTGGTTTTGCTTTAAACTCCTTTTGCTTTAAACCCAACTTCACTTTAAGCCCAGCTTTGAATTAAACCTAGCTTTGAATTGAACCTGATTTTGCCTTAAAACCAGCTTTCCTTTAAACCCAGTTTGCTTTAGACATGATTTTGTTTTAAATGCAGTTATGCATTAAATCCAGAGTTGCTTTAATCCCAAATTTGTTTTAAACTCGGCTTCGCTTTAAACCAGGTTTTGCTTTAAAGAGTTTTGTTTTAAATCCGGTTTTGCTTTAACCCAACCCTTCATTAAGCCCAGCTTTGCTGTGCAGCTCTCCAGGCCTTTCCCAAAGCTAACCAGGACCTTCCCATGGAGCAGCTGCTGCTCCCAGGCGGCTCCGGGGCCAAAACCGGGTCTAATTTCCCTAAAAGAGACTGGGGTAGAAGAGGAGAAGGCGCTGCTGGGTGGAACGGGAGCTGCTCAGAGCCTCGGGGAGGGTTCCCTGGGGAGAGCCTGGCATTGCCATTGGGAAACACGAACCAGTTCTGTGCCCCAGCACCAAAAAGTGGAATCCTGGGACTCACCAAAGGTTTAAACCGAGTTTTATGGGAGGGAAAGGTTTGTTTTCCATCAAACCATGCATGGCCATGGAAAGGGAAGCTCCTCGTTCTCTCTCCTGGGGCAGGGATCCCCCCCACGGATCCCCCCACGGATCCCCCCACGGATCCCCCCAGGGATCCCCCCTGCTCCCGCCGTGGGACCGTGGGAAGGAGCTCCCTGCACCGAGCGGGACGGATCCGGCGCTTCCCAGTGCGGAAACCCTCGGGATTTTTGGCAGTGCCAGGCCGGGCTCCAGCCCGGAAGAGGGGGGCTGGCAGCGGGAGTGAATCATTCCCAGCACTCTGCATCCCGATGGATTTCCATGTGTTTGTAAAGCAGGGTTGTGAAAACCCCTCATGTTCCTCATTCCTGCGCTCCGGCCGAGCGGCTCCAGAGCCGTTCCCAAGGGAAACCCAACCCTGCTCCGCCTCTCCGATCCCAAAAACTCCTTGGAGGAGCACTGGGGATGCAGCCCTGCCGTCCTCATTCCTGTCCCCGTCCTCATTCCCGTTCCCGTCCCCATTCCTGTCCCTGTCCCCATCCTCACTCCCGTGCCCTGCAGGACGGGAGGGTCAAACCATCCCCACGGGGATTTTTTCGGGGTGCTTGGCAGTGCCTTCACAGCCCCCCCATTCCCATCCCATTCCCATTCCGGCGGATGGAGGATGGGATCAGCAAACCATCCCCGCAGGTTTCTTTTGGGGGTGCTCAGCAGCCCCTTCCCAGCCCCCCTTCCCCTCCCCAGCAGGTGCAGGGCGGGATTTGCTGCTCACCCTCGTTTCTTCTCTGTCACCTCGGGATGATCCCCTGGGATCAGCGCTTTGCTCCCCCTGTTTCCCCCGGATTTCCTTCTTTCAGCCTCTCCCTGTGGCAGGATCCGGCCTTTTCCCTCCCCTCCCACCCCAAATGCAGCTGGAAAAGCCCGGCCGAGCCCCGACATTCCGGCTTCAGCCCAGACCAGCTCACGCCCCGTCCCTCACTGCAGGGCTCCGCTGCCTCCGTGTCCAAACCCCTGGCCCTGAAGCCCCCAGGGAACGGGAATTTCGAGGGGGCATCCCGGGCTCCAGGTCCCACTCGTGCAGCTCTTACCTGCCGGCACCATGTGCGGCTCCAGGTGAAGGCCTTGCCCAGGTGAAGGCGTTGCCCTTTTCCTACCTCACCTTTCCAGTTCGGCTGGAATGAGGATCAACCCCCAGGATTCCTCCCCCGTTAACCCCTGGCTGGCTGCGGGGACAACCCATCACCCCGGAGACTGGGAATGGGGGAATTCTGGGTGACGAGAGGGGAAATTTTGGGTGTTCGGGTTTTTTTTGGCATGACAGAGCATTTTCCGGGAGCTGGTGGAACAGACTCGACGCCTTTTCCCTGAGTCACGGGTGTTATGGGGGGAAGAGAGTGACAACCCCCAACCTCCCCCCTCTCCAATCCTCAGCCACCCCAAATCCTCCGGGGGGAATCCCCCGGACCCCTCTGCAGTCCCAGATGGAGATTTGGGATTTTGCCACCTTTTCCGTCTTTATTTCAGGGGGGATGGGGGCTGGGAAATGCATTCTGGGGAATGAGTTTGGGGAAGACGCCGCATTTCCCGTGGGATCACAGAGTGCTGAGGAACTCGGGGGGATCCTGGGGGGAGTCTACAGCACCTGAGGGGTCCCGGCTCGTGTCCTGCTCCGGTGTCCCTGAACAGCCCTGGGAGAGACACGGGTGACACCGGCACCTCGTGATTCCCTTAAATCCCACCCAGAAGGGACCGAGCCCCCCGCCCGGATCGGGGATCCAGAGGGGCCCGGGGCCGCGGGGAGGGGCAGCTCCAGCCCCACCTGCAGCCGAGGGTGTCCCAGGGGCTGGGTTTGTCCCCAGGCCGGCCTCGTGTCCCCACCTCCCGCCCGGGTGTCCCCCCCCAGCCAGAAATCCTCCTGTGTGTGTTCCCCGCTCCCACCCCCGGCGTCTCCCAGAACTTTCCCACCTGGGTTTTGCGCACCTCTGGCTCGGCATCCGTCACCTCCGCGCTGTCCTCGGTGTCACCGCGCTGGCTCCGATCACCGCCGAGCTGGCACGGCTCCCGGGGACACGCCGGGGACACCGCCGCGGGACCGGGGACATGGCCGGGGACAGCGCTGGGGGACGGCGGCGCCGCGGGACGAGCCCCACCCTCAGCGCTGCTGGCCGTGCTGTCCCCGGCCGGGTCCGCGGCTTTTCCCGGCTCCGGTGACAAGGTGCCGGCGGCCTGGGCAATGGCCTCGGATAAAATCAATGACGCCAGGGAAGCGGCGATGCCCTCGGGCCCAACCCGCTCCCCGCTGCCGCCCCCCGGCTCCGCGGCCGTCGCTGATGTCTCCTGAGCAGGGGACAGAGAATCGGGGTCGGAGCTGGACTCTGGGGTCTCCTCGCTGGACACTGGCACTGTCACCGATGTCGCCTGCTCATTGTCGTGGCCAGGGCCGGGCTCTGGGGTCTCCTCGCTGGACACCGCCGCTGTCACCGATGTCGCCTGCTCATTGTCGTGGCCGGGGCCGGGCTCTGGGGTCTCCTCGCTGGACACCGAAGCTGTCACCGATGTCGCCTGCTCATTGTCGTGGCCGGGACCGGGCTCCGGGGTCTCCTCGCTGGACACGGACGCCGTGTCCAGGGAGCCCCCGCTGGCGGGCGAAGCCGGGGGGGGCCCGGGGGAAACAGCCCCCAGGTCCCCGTTGGTATCGGGGGCAGCGCTGTCCCCGCCGGGGGACCCCGGTGTCACCTCCGCGTCCACCACGGGCGCCTTGTCCGGGCAGGGGAACATGGCCGGGGGGCTCACGGGCGCGGAGATGACCAGAGAGCGGCGGTTACTGGGGACGGGGGGGGACAGAGAGGCTCAGCTTGGGGTGTCCCCAACATCCGTGGGGTGTCCCCAACACCCTTGGGGTGTCCCCGTCCCAGCTTGCAGGTGACGCCTCCCCTTCCAGCAGGACCCCGATCAATTCCCCAGCAAAAAGCGCCTTCAGCGCATCTTTGGCAGAGCCCGCCCGACCCAGCGCTTTGGGTCCGGAGCCTCCATCGTATCTGTGGGGGTTGAGGGCGAGCTGTCCCCTCAAGCTCCGCTGTCCCCTCATCTCCCGCAGGTGTTACCTGGGGACACCTTTGATGATGAACACTTTGCTCGAGTGCTGCTTCTCCAGTTTGCTCATCACCTCGTACAGGTCCCGGTTGAGCTGGGGAGGGAGG